GTAGAAATATAGATAATACTTCGCTTATCAATAATTTATAACTGTACTAGATACTTTTGTATTTTTTAAAATGGTTTTTAAATGTTTGTACTGTGGATCATCATCGATAAATAATGATAAACTGTCTTTTCATTCGTAAGTAGCTAATTAAGAATTTAATAATTTAATTTGACTTAATATTTATTTCTCAACATTAAAGGTTTCCCAAAGATCAAAGAAAAAACTTGTGGCTAAATATATTAAACTTGAAAAGTGCTGGCCAGTGGGATTAAATTTGTTCAAACCATTTTAAATCACAGGATTATTTTGTTCATGGTTCAAAAAAAAAATTAGTATATGATGCAGTRCCAACTCAAGATGTTTTRAAAAAGTAAAATTATTATTCATTTATTTAAATCACAATATTTTAAACAAAATTATACATAATATATATATATTTTTACAGTAAAGATGAAAATGATTCAAATMAGGTTCAATCACCAGAAACACCACTGCATCGATCTAAAAGGTACCTAACTGATAAATGTGTAATTTAAATATAATACTATTTTAAAACAATATTTGATTGTTACTTCCATACAGGAAACTATTTTCTAGCTCATCTGTATCCCCTAGAAAAGTATTCTGTTCTTCGTCAAGATTTGGTGACTTGTCTGAAGTAGATTTWAGTACTCCTCGGARATCGAAAAAAAATTTTCAATTTGTCCAAACAACAGTGTTAGATCTTCGACAAAAGAACAAATGTCTAGTTYAAAAATGTCATAGGCTYGAACAAAAAATTTGTGAATTGAATATGATAATCAAAGATCAAAATGACAGGCTATTACAAACTAATTCTGCAGCCGTTAACTGTAAAGTAATATAAAAATAAAATAAATATTCATTTTAATACTTGTTTTTAAACATAAATATACATAAGGTGATTCTAATTTTACAATTCAAGTAATGCTGTGTTTTTCAAAGTAAAAATTTAAAAACTAATGAAAATAATAAAAATATTAAAAAAAATGTTTTATAGCAATTTTAATTTCTGTAAACACTGAGTGGTTCATGATAAAAGAGAATCGCCTTGTATATAATATTAAATAATATAATATACAGGGTGTTCCAGGTCTATTTGACTAATGCAATAACTTTTTTTCTATTCAATATTTTTATATATTATATTATATTATATTATTATATTATATATTTGTAACTGTATTTTAATACCATTTGTTATTTTTTTTTGTGTCTGTTAACCATTTGTCAAAAAAACAATCGGGAGTGGAATCTTAAGGTGAAAAAACTTCAGAAAGACAAATACGAAGATCAGAACTGGAAAAAAAAACCTGTTTTATGTTATCCAATATATGTTAATCTTATATTAATAATAAAATATAATTTTATGTTTCATAATGTGATTTTATTATTACCTGTGATTGTGAATGATTTATTTATTTGGGCATGGTCAATTTAAAAGTTATTAAACTTTTTTAAATGTTTTWTGATATGTTAATTATCTTAAATGAATATCTTTCAGGCATTAGGATCAGATATTCTTGACTATATTGTTGCTGGAAAGAGACCTAATACCTATAGTGAAGAAATTCGAAAATTTTCGGTAACTTTGCAATATTATTCGCCCAAGGCTTACATAGTTACATGTATGTTAGAGAAAAGTTTAATAACATATTGCCTTACCCAAGAACATTAAGTCGTTGGTATATGTCTATTGATGGCCAACCCGGGTTTACTAAAGAATCTTTTGATACATTGGCTGATATTGCAAAAACAAAAGAAATTCAATGCAATTTAGTGATTGATGAAATGAGTATACGAAAACAAATAGAAATGGATAGTAATCGAAATGTGTATGGCTTTGTTAATTTGGGTGTCACAAGTACAGAAAATATGGATAAAAATATATTAKAGGCAAAAAATRCTTTAGTTTTTATATTAGTTGGAATAAATGGTTACTGKAAGTTGCCCATTGGTTATTTTTTAATTGATGGCTTGTCAGGTAAAGACAGGGCTTCTGTTGAAAGCGTTGCAATTAATWAATGAAACTGGAGTAAATATAAATTCTTTAACTTTTGATGGTGCATCAGTAAATACATCAATGGTTTCAACTTTGGGAGCTGATTTAAATAACTCACCACAAATTATAAATCCACATACAAAAGAACCAATCTATATTTTTCTAGACGCCGCGCATATGATCAAACTTGTTAGAAATGCTTGGGGTGATCGTTTATACAAAAAAAAATGAGAACAACAAGTCAGTGGAAGTAATAAAAGAACTTGTAAATTCTAAAGAAGAATTAATTAGATGGGATTACTTAAAAAAGCTGTATACAATAGAAAGTGAAARAGGACTAAGAGTTGGTACAAAGTTGACAATAAGACATATAAAATATTCAAATGAAAAGATGAATGTAAGACTTGCTGCTCAAACATTAAGCAAAAGTGTAGCAGACGCATTAATGTTTTTAAAAACCAATGAATCTT